AAATTTATTTGTTATTGCTTTGAAGTACAGATGGACGATTAAAATCTTCGACCTTTCGTTTAATGATTTTTCTACATCCAAATAAGTAGTTAAGATATTTTATAAACAAACTGATGAACTTTATCGTTGAGCAGCTTATGTTCTTTTAAAAATAAATTTCACGTTTGCCCGTGAACTTGTTTAGAAAACATCAGAATTTTCTGAACTGGAAACTTTTTAATGGTAAAGTAGAGAGAGAGAGAGGAGAGAAAATTCATGGTTCGTTTCAGAATCACAGGAAACGTACCTCTTTCATTTACTTAACGTTTTCCAGTTTGCCTTTTCAACGGTAAGAATTTTATTTCTTGCAGTTTTTTTTTAATGCTACTTTTAGTTTAAATGTTTTATTTTCGAAGAGATATCTTAAAAGCAACAGCGTGAAAAAATGTACATTATAGTTTTATTTGATGGAAGACTGGAAAACGTACGCTTTGCGATTTCAGAAAAAGAAACAAAAATATTATTCAAGAACTTATTGTGTGCCATGCTTTCTAATTTTTGGAATACAGACAATCGTATTTTAATATTATGTGTCAAAAAGAAGGGAAATATGTAATTCCATTATTCGTTGCTATTCATAATTTATTATCTGCAATATAACACAGCGGTTCTTAAACTGAAGTCTGTGGACCCCTATTGTCTTTCTAGGGGGGTCTCCCATTTAATGTTAAGATTTCCCTTTTTTGCAGACTCTGAAAGGTCTTGTGGAAAAATTGAAAGATGTACCATTCTAGACTATATAGCTAAATTACCCCCTGTCGAGGGGTGGTTCCTATGTGTTGCTCTCGGGAAACCAGACGAGGTTGTTGACAAAACATCTTTATTTTTCTCTCTTGGTAGCTCGGGGCGTATGTCGGAACACTACGATGGGCACAGCGTCCACGCTCTCGCTCGTCTGATCTCCCCCACACACTCTGAAAACTCCGACTCTCGTTTCGCTTAATACACTTAATCACCGCCAGGCGGCGCCCACTGCATATGCTCGAACACCCCAATTAAAAAAAAACTGCTAGAACATATATTTACAAGGACGTATTAAAACTTTTTGAGGGTCTGGACTTCTATGCAAAAGTAGGCCTACCTGTGATCTTTAAAAGTAGACAGTATGTTTCGTGCATTGTCAAATACTCTCGTTCAAATGGTAGTTTGAAACAAATAAATGTGCACGACTCATAATTTCACAAACCTAGGCACAAACGGGCTCGACCGATGGCTGCATTTCGACTAAATGAGTTGAATGATTGTTTATGGTATTAGGCATAGGCCTAGACTTGGATAACAGTCATCAAATATTAATACAGTCTTGCTACTTTTGCAAGTTAATATGCGCTTTGAAATTCCCTGTTTTTCGAAGAATATGTACGGAAATAATATTTGACCATTAAAATTATCCGGATCACACATGATCTTATTAAAACTGAGTCGAGAACGAAACGAGGCCCTTGGCCAGTTGTCCCATGCCTTAAGTCCACTGGCGTAGCTAGTTTTGAATGGGCACCGTATTAAAACTCCTTCGGGGGGGGGCCTTTTACAGAAATGAAAGCCTTGTTAGCGGTACTATAGTTACACATTTTGGAGCCCCGTATCATTGATACGGCTGATTCTGCGTAGCTAAGCCCTTGTTTAAGACGTCCCTGCGTATTTCAATCAAGAATATGAATTTTGTCTTTTTATTGTTTGCATCTACACATAGCCATTATTACAACGTAATTTTTTAAATGGATGTTTACTGCTTTCTTAAATGAAAAAAAGTGATAAAAAAGTCTGTCTAAAAGCAGCAGAGGTAGTATTAGGATTATTGAAGAACCTCCAAATCATCCAGCCGTGTGTTGGGAGTGGGGAGGAATGTCTCTCTTTTGGGGATCCGCGATGTCAGACTAATGCATAAAGGGAAGCCGCGGCGATCGAAAGTTTAAGAGCCACTGACATAGCATATAATGAGTGTTTTTTTTCCAGGTATAGAAGTTTAAGTTGGCATTACTTTCCAAGATGGCGACCGATTTAACAGATGTCAAGTGATTTATTCTTAGTTTGGTTTGGCAATTCATCAAAACGATCATCAAGCAAGGCGTAGATTCGTCGAATAGGCCCAAAACGAGATTGCCGTTGTTCCCGATTTTCATAAGCGAATTTTGTTTAGCGATGAAACGCACTTCTGGTTGAATGGCTACGTCAACAAACAAAACTACCGCATTTGGAGTGAAGCTAATCCACAAGTGTATGTCGAAACACCGTTACATCCAGAAAAACTGACTGTTTGGTGCGCTTTATGGGCTGGTGGAATCATTGGTCCGTATTTCTTCAAAAACGATGAAGGCCACAACGTTACAGTCAATGGTGATCGGTATAGAGCCATGATTACTAACTTTTTCATTGCTGAATTGAACAATCATGATGTCCAGGAGCTGTGGTTTCAACAAGACGGCGCAACATGTCACACAGCTCGTGCCACAATCGATTTATTGAAAGACACGTTTGGTGACCGCCTAATTTCACGTTTTGGACCTGTGAATTGGCCTCCAAGATCTTGTGATTTAACACCGCTAGACTATTTTCTGTGGGGCTATGTAAAGTCATTGGTCTATGCGGATAAGCCACAAACGCTTGACCATTTGGAAGACAACATTCGCCGTGTTATTGCCGATATACGGCCACAAATGTTGGAAAAAGTCATCGAAAATTGGACGTCCAGATTGGACTCCATCCGAGCCAGCCGTGGCAGTCCTATGCCAGAAATCCTATTTAAAATGTAATGCCACAAGATTATCTTTCAAATAAAAAAATTCATGTCAATCGAATAATACATCGTTGTTTTATTGCAATTTAAAGTTCTATACCTCTAAAAAAAACACCCTTTATAACGCTTTATAGGCCGTGGTAATTATACTAACCGCCAACTATATTAATTTTTAATTGTCGATGGGAAGTTATTTTCCCCTCTAAGAGATGTTTCCTGCTGGTATTTCAAACCAGTACGCCAACTGATTTTTGGATTTTCAAGTCATAAACTCAAATAACAACATGTAAGTCTCCCGAGCAGCAAAACTATTCCACAGAACAAGAACACTATACCTGAAGAATATCTTTGAACCAGTAAAACAGGATGATGCGTGTAGAGTACTATACAATTATGACATTTGCAAAAAGTATGGCGAATCCAACATTATTTTTTGTGAAAATAACTAAAACATAAACATCCTGCATTAGATGGTTGGGTCACATATTTATATCTAATGACTTGCAACTAAACTTTCTCCAGAATTGATGGTAAACGAAAAAAAGGACTATCAACTCGGTGACTGGATAACGTAGGAAATGTCTTAAGGGTAATTGGAATAAGCCGATGGAGGGCTAGTTTGCCTGATAGGGCCAGATGGAGAAAATTTTGTTCGGAAGGCTTGGTCTGCAAAAACAGGTTGTAGTCAATGGCGTAACTCCCGCAGCCTAGGGGTCCAAAGTCTGACTGATGCTCTTTGTAAAATCCGACTTTAGGCATAAAACCTGACTTTACATGGGGCCCCTAATATACTCTTACGCTACTGGCAGTAGTGCTTAAGAAGAAGCTTATGTTATAATGGGAAATACAAAGCATAAAATGCCCTACTTTTAAATATTTCCCAGTGGGTAGTAGGAACAGGGGCGTAGCTACCACCGTATCAATTATACGGGGCCACCAAGCTACAAGGGCCCAACATATGTGAGTAAAAATTGTTAATATAATATGGTGCTCCAAAAAAGGGTGTGCAAAAAATTTTAATACAGGGCCCACTCAGGACTGTCTACGCCAGTGAGCAGGAAGCACACACACACACACAAATGGTTTTAAAACTCGAATGAATGAATGAATAATAAATGAATATGAATTTATTTTTATAAATCAATCCCAAAAGTATTTCAACACTTATAAATATTTTAACATATTAAAGGGTTAACATACAATAAGCATTCAAATTTCATCAATCTTCTTTCTATTGGGTAAACAAAATTCTGTCACAGTTTTATGGTTGGTTAAGTACACTTATTTATGATGTCTCTGTTTTTCCCTTTGCTACAGTTTTGTCTACTATACTCATTATCAAACAGGATAGAATCTTCTATTTAGAATTCAGGTAGAATGCGTCATTAAGTGAATACTATTTGTTCGAATCAACTCACTTGTCATTCAGAAAGAGTTCCCGATACATCATCAGCGAGAGCATTACGAATTCAAGACTCTTAACGGTATTCATTAACTCGGTAACTGTGTCACTGGTTAATAAGAGTGAGAGGTTTTCACAACAATGAAAAGAGAAAGGCTGCAGAGGACCGACACTCAATTAGGACCGCCTGTAAAAATACTAGTCGGCAGATTAGTATTGTTAGCTAATGCTGCATTATCATTATGATTATCTTGTACGTCTGTGCAATTCTCTTTGTTCGGTTGTGTTGTCGGGACGCATAGCTCCTCCTCTTGGTTTTTTAATTAATATATCAATTGTGTCGCTACGTTCAAAAGTTAATGCTTTTTATTGATCGAATTGAAAGAAATCGACACTTTTTGTGTAAGTCGGAACTCTAATACCTTTTAGAGTGAATTTATTTTCGTATTTGTGTACAAATAATTAACGTTGTGGCTTCTGGAACAATAGATTGTAAGAATGGAGCCACTTTTATACAAAAACACACAAGTAATACATAAAAAAATTAAGTCAAGTCTTACTTAGATCAACAAAGAAAAAGTTTATTTTAGTTACTTTTTATTAAATAATTGCAATTAATATAAATATGTATATCACATATGACAGAATCACAATATTTAATGTCAAAATAGAAAGCGATTTTCCTTGGGATTTTTCATTTCCCTTTCTATAAATGATATTGGACTATTATTTTTGTTTTGGTTACTATTTATTCATTCATTAAATTTAATTATTCTGATAAAATAGTATAGTCAAAATAAATCACATTCTTCGAAATTAGACCATCCCAGGTGGGATTCCAATCCACGACCTTTGGATTAGAAGTCCAACGCGCGCGCTATCCATTGTCCTACAATAACACAACGAGCGACTTTCCTGTTTATGTATGGTTTTGGACTATTATTTTTGTTTGTTACTATTTATTCCTTAATTAAATATAATTAATGAATTAATATTTGAAAAAACTGTATTAACATCAAGTGTCTTCCACTACAAGTTTAAAAAAATGTATTTGAACTTGAGTGGATGAATAAAAAGTATTTTATTAACGATTGAAAATTTGAACAAGATATATATATATATAAGTAAACATATATAGGGAGATAGTGAATTATAATGGTAGGAATTGTGAGCAAAACTTATTTCGAGGAATTTGACAATTTAAGAATATGCTTTGAAAAAGTTCAAAATTCTCGAACACGGTATTCTAAAATAAGTTGGCTCCGAATTAGAACCAAAATCTATAAAATTATATACATGCGTTATACTGACTATATAACTGGTATTTTTTGTATATAAATATTATATGAATAAATAGCTCACAATGAAATAAATTACTAATTATCTTTCCGGTAAAAGTTAGTTGCAACAAAACTTAAGAGACATTAAACTCACTAGCTTAAAAATTTGATAATGCATACCTTATTTAAGTATGATCAATAAAAAAGCAATAATATGCTTCTAAATGATTTAATATTTGGAAACTATAATTCGGATTATACGGCAAATTCGATTTTTTAAGTATTTCAATGCCTAAAACTATTATCCGTTTAAAGGCTTTTAAATTTCATTGGATTGTATCAATTATTATATTCATTGATTTCAGTAATTCTTAATCCAGTTTGAGAAGTCTTGTTAGCCTAGAACCGTCGACTCGTATGTGATGTGCGTGAGGGGCTTATGTCTCGTAATTTTAAATTAAGACTGCTATCCATCAAGAGCTGATTAACATTAAATAGAACCGGTTCGATCTCCTTAAATTGATATGGTGTTAGACAGGAATATTTTAAGTCATGGGCCAACTGGGCTCGGGTCTCAGCCTCAGGATGGGGGAGGGATAGGTCTCATTTCTTTCTCGTCAATAAAAGCACGACACGTGTTTCAAGAAATATGCCCCGAAAAACTCTGGGGTATTCAAACTACATGCCAACTGACAACAATGGTAACACTCCATTATTACCTCATGTTAGTCTCTAAGCCTACCATTATACATCATTACTACTCATTTAGTCTACAGGTAGCAGTCGCTTTGTGAGATTGTAAATTATGCACATTTATTTGTTAAGGGATGCAGTTCGTATGAGTATTTGACAACATATGCTGTATATTGTCTACTTAAAAAAGTCGTGGGTGGAACTTACTTTTGCACAGGGCCCAATTTCTTCAAGAAATATTAAGATGTCATTGACGTTGTATTTTGAGATTGGGGTGCCAGCTCCCATTCCAACCTTCAGCTAGCCATATGTTAAATCTAAGACTATTGAGATATATTAAATCGAGAAAAAGTTGATAGCCTTAAGCGATTATTCTCTTATCTTTGATTATGTGCCTCATGACCTTCTTAACGAAGACACTAATTCACCCAACATTTATTTTAATAATGATTTTGGAAAATCCGAACAAGAAGCAACGACGGACCTCACAATTCTAAACTATAGTTATGCAATGTGAATATGATAGAACTGTAATTGTACTTTCGACATCCACACCTATATGAGGACTCTAAGCCTCAACATATTCAATATATATTTCAAACTCGCTATACGTATAATGATATTAGGAAGTACGGAGCCCCAACCCATTGGTTGTGAATTCTCACTATTCTATTAGCCTACCTACTAACACCTGTAGTAGGAATGATCTTCGCTTTTAATCACAATGCTCAATCGCATTTAGACAAACTGCAAAAAAGCATCATCTCCCTCTTTAAATTCTAGTAAACAAGAATGCAATACATGAAAAATTTCGAAACTGTATTATACTCTACCGACATTGTAATTTACTACTTACTTTATATACTTGTTCCATTCCTATTAAGTCATTTTTATTTAAAAAGAAATGAAATAAAGTAATAGCTGTGTAGAAATCGCAGTTCTGCAGGGTTCTTAAGTCATAATTTATAGAAGGAGTTTTTTATTGTATTACACATATTAAATTGTTGGTATATGTTCTACATTGAGTACAATAATTGATACTACATTTGTCAAGATCTATAATCATTAAGCAAATAACTGACGACAGAACTGATTCATAACTTATAGAATACTATTACCTACTATAAATTAGTCTGGCTGTTGATAGGTGACCTGCGCAGGATGTACACGTGTATCAACTGGTCCCTTGAATTGCTAAAATAGGGCGAGGCAGAGAAGTTCAGATGAGATATTTATTTTTGGCGTCAAATAAACCTGTATTAGTTACATTAATTTTTTTAATCAATCACGTCAAATACATTTTACATAATTCTGGTTCAAATATTGACGACTTGAAAACAGTGCAATGAAATAATCGAATCATCGATATCCAACAGCGAGCGCAATTTCACAACCCCTATCTTTGGATTCATCTTTCAAGTTTAAATTTATCAGTCACTAGTATATACTAAATCAAGATTATACTTACACTGTGTTCATTTCTTTGATTATTAATGGAACATATTCTTCCTACGAAAAAAAAATGAGGATTAAGATATAAATCATGTTCTGTCTTTCATAAAACGAAATGTTTCAAGCTACGAGTACCAAATGTGTCTTGTTAAGGACAGGATACAAGAATTCCTTTATACTCGGTTAACTGCAATTAAGAGATATGTTACTCAGTCTGCGATTTGAAAGACGTTACTTGGAAAAAAATCTAACAATGATTTTGACTCTTTCGAGTCTTAATCACATAACCTAATATTCAAAATAATTACATATGCTGATAACCCTTGTATTATAAATATTTGGTATCTGTTTATAATAATGGTACTATATATATATACTCGGGAATACATTTTATATCTATAAAAAAATAGGACATATACCCTGTATACAAATTGCATGCATACATTTGATTAAATATTATATCTAAACACATAAAATGTATATACACAAATTATTAACATGCAATAAATACGTACAAAATACATATAAACAAATTATCAAATATATCTTTACTTCAAATGTTAAACATAAAACTACGCAAATATAGCATCAAAAAACATGCTTGTTTATACTAACAAGGAAGGAATCTTTGAAACAATAGACAGAGTTTTAATTAATTTTTAGAAAGAATTTTTGACTTTATTATTTTAAAGAAAACTTACTTATGATACGTTAAAAATTTATTTTTAATTAGTTCCCATCAGAGATTTTTGATTTATGATGTATGATATACTTTTTTTATGTATGGTACAAGAAATTCTACGTCTTAACTTAGTTACCTCATGTTGACTATTCATCTACAAAATAACGAAACTTTTCAATTATTCCAATTTTATTGTACTTTATAGCAAACTTTTTCAACCTATGGGCTTATTTAATACAATTAAGAAATATATTTATTGTGTCTGCAAAAACAAATTTCTTGAGTTTGATTCTGTGATTTCCGAATGACAGGTTGTAACCGCTGATACCTTAATAAAAGGCAAAGTAATAATATAATACATTCTTCCGTCGACCGAATAGATGAAATAGAAACTCTAATTTATATAAAAATAAATATTTTTTTCGTAATAAAATTATTTTTCTAGATTATTTTTAATACACAAACGAGAGATATCATATCAAAACAATTTAGATGCGAGGTTTAAAGATCAAATGGAATAAATTACATAAATATGTGATTATTTTTTCACTTATACATAATTTTATTCAAACATTTCCAACTTCCTTTATTTTCTATGCCATTAGTTTTAACTGCCATTAACTACCATCTCTGCATGCATCATTAATGCTGCCTGAACTCTCATTATTTCATGCATCATTGAACGGGTGGAATACATTTTTACAAATAATTTCACAGCAAATGAAGAAGTAGTGTTCTGGGAGGTAAATGGGGGTATTAGTTGAAATTATTCTACGTCTGTTTCATGGTAATTCTTCAATGTCTTGTTAGAACAGTCCTTTATTTTTCGAAGTATAAGGAATTTAAGGTTATCTTCGAATAATATTAAAGAACGAATCCAAATTCGGAACACGTTGTCGTATAGAAAAATGTCTTTACTGAATACTTAAAATAAAATGCGTCTATTTATGTATTTGGAAAAGACATTTTTTACTGGTGGAAACAAGCATTAACTATGTCATAAGAATACGTTAGAAAGAGTGTATTGCGCTTATTTATGCCATCTTTAATGTCTGCTTTCACCAATAATGAGCTTAATTTTCAAAAAAAATATACTGCCTGTCGGAGCAAGAGACACAAATAATGACAATTACATACATTTTTACCATCAGATGACGGTCAAACTATTCAATATTTTAAGATACTTGTTGGGCGTCTTCTTTTAGCGTTAAAGCCTTCAAACTATTTTTCTTATTATGACCTCGTTCTAGGTATATTTGAAAGAAAAGCGATTTTGGTATTTATTCTATTTCTGGTACTTTTCCGTTTCTCTGGTGCAAATCTCGCCAAGTTGGCGTTAATGGTGACAACACACAATATACACTCAGAAAATATTGATAGATATCAGTTCTCATTGGTTTTTCATCCAGTTTGATGTACAACCTCTGACAATAACGTTCGATGAATAGACCTGTAACATTAACGCAGATGAAGTATTAAAGATAGTTACCTTACTGCCTTCGAAATAGTTACTTCCCATAACTATGCACAGCTGAGATCTGCTATGTATGTCCTGGAAACTTTGCTAGAAGTCTTCTGAGATGGAGTTCAAAGGCCTCGTCACGTTTCGTTGTATGTCAGAAATATCGTCAAATCTCTTTCCTTTCAAAGCGAGTTTGAGTCGTGGAAATAGGAAGAATTCTGAAGGATAGAGATCTGGCGAGAATGGCGGATGTTCTATTTGCACCCCCACCGCCGTTTTTGCCAGAAACTGTTTGACGATATTGGCTGCGGGAGGGCAAGTATTGTC